CACACACACAGCGAGAGAGACCGAGAAGAGTCAAGAAGAGAGAGGGAAAAGACGATAGAGAGAGAGAGAGAGAGAGAGTGCGCGAGATAGGGGCCTGCTCTGCGGGAAAGAATGTTCGTCGCATATTGGAAACCAATCACCAGAGAAAAGTTATCTTCACAACACACGCTGCCCATATCCGTGCGCGCATGCGCGCACATCGACGCGTGCGTCCTCCTCCAAGAGACTCACAGATCGTGCCCCGGTTTGCGTGCGTCAGGAGGCGGAAAGAGCTCCCCGGACCGGGATATGTGGCCCACAACACTCCCCGGTCCAGTGGGCCCGGTCCCCGCCTGCGCCCCGGCTTCGGGCCGTCTAGCCCTCGTCCGCCTTTCCCGCACGCCTCCCCCTGGTGATGGGGGGCGGCCTTGCCGCGAGGCCGCGCCACATCTTGGTGCCCCGCGCCTCCCTGGGAAGGGAAAGTGGGAGCCGATGCGGGCTCCGGGCGACATCCTCCCCTGAGGCGGGCAGGCGAGGGCTGCCATTAGGCAACGTTGTGCGAGGCTGGGCAGGGCCAGATGAAGCGGGGACTGCTAGCTGGCCTCAGCGGGCGGGCATTCTGCCGCCGCATTGTCACGGCTGCTGCTGCTGCTGCTGCTGCTGCTGCTGCCATTCTCGCTTGCGGTCCCCCTTCCCCCCTGCCCATCCCCCCTGATTCCCGGGTCGCCTACTTACACCGAAATCGCCCACGAACGCCACCTCCCTCCCCCCGGTAGTGCAGGAGGAGAAGAGGCGCGGCTCGTGGCACTCGGGGCAAGTATGGTTGGATAGGGACCGGTCGGCGCCGGTTTGTACGCCTCTTGAGAAAAAAAACGCATGCTCCTGCATACATGCGCCCAGACTGCCGTCTGTCCGTGCGTGCTTTCGTCACGCGCAGCCGGCGCACCTCCCATCATCTGGGCAGCCACGCGAAAAGCCAGAGAAAAGTCTTAAACTTAGAAAAAAGAATTCGCCCCGGGCATATGTCTGGCCATCGGTCCATCCACTCCGGCCGGCCTCCTCCTCCTCCTCCAGCCCTTCCCTTCCCTCTCCGGCGCCCTGTGTCCCGAGCGCGGACACTGGTGGCTGCAGGCACAGTGACGATCAAGTTGGGGCGTATACCATGCGCGCAGGCGCCCTATTCCCCGTTGCCGCCGATCTCGCCCGCGCATGCGCTTGCACAGTAGTGCTCGCATGAGCGGAAGAATGACGCATCAATGGGGCAAGGGGGCCCGGGCCATGTGTGCTTATGACCCGATTGCTCTCGTGCTTTTCCACCCAGCTCCCCCGCCGTCGGTGCACCTAGGGCGCAGGGCTCGGGCCAGGAGGGAAAGGCCCGGCCACAAGCGGGACAGACAAACCCCCTTGCGCGTCTTCATATTTGCACATCGGTCTGAACGGAAAAATCAGAAAAAATGGTCCTTGTTTCCTCTCGTTTTTCAAAAGAAAAAAACCCACAAAAGCCCCGGCCCCACTTGTCCGTCCGCCCTCTCGCCTCCCTGGCTCTTGTGGCCAGCGGAGACCAGCGGCGGCCAGGATCGGTGAGTGCCCGGTCATAGAATACTTTTATTTCCTCTTTTTATTTCCCCCATTGTCCCCCCCCCCCTACACCCTCGGCGCGGCGGCCCCTCCTCCCCCCCCTTCCTCCTCGCCCTGCCCGATCTCTGCCACCCCGCCCCGCCCCTCCCCTTTCCCTCCCCATGCACAAGGAGATCCCCCTGCTTGGCACGAGGGAGGCACAAACAGGGACACACAGCCCATCCGCCTGACTTATGTGCGTGTGTGTGTGTGTGCGTGGGGACACCGAGAATACACTCACCCATTCTCCACTTCGCCATCCGAGGGGGGCTCTGGCTTGGACGTTTTCTCGTTCCGTGGGGTTGGGGGGGGGGGGGGGGGGAGGGAGCACCCCTGGGCTCGAATCCCGGCTCATAGCCTGCTCCTGCGCATGGGGCAATGTCTGTTGTTGGTTTTTGGTATTGATGGAGGCACAAGGACGGGGAAGGAAAGGGGGCGGGGGGGGGGGGGGGGGGGGGAGGGACCGCGATTAAACTTCGCCAACCAGGATCAGGCGTAGGATGTTCGGCGCGATGGCCAGCAGCGGTGACAGCACGAGTGACAAGCACATCCAGACGATGGCCGACTTGCCGAGGATGACGGCGTGCAGCTCCGAGGAGAGGTATGGAGCCAGGCCGATGAAGCCGCGCGACGTGGCCACCCCCCAGAAGCCGACCATCATGAGCAGGGCTCGGTTACAGAAGATGGCATGCTCCACGAAGACGGACCCAACCCACTCGATGTTCGAGTAGGGGTTGCTCTCGACGATGTAGGCCACCGTGCGGATGACCGTGAAGCTGAACCCGTAGATCATAAGAATGTAGGGCAGGGAGAAGTCTGCGAGGGGTGACGAAGGGGCGGATGGGTGAGAGGTCAGTTGGGGAGGCCCAAAAGCCAGCGGAGGCGGACGCAAGCTCGACGACGAGGGGTGGCACGTACAGAGGGGGCCGGAAAAGATGATCTGAACGAAGAGCAGAGCCCCGAGATAGAAGACCGACCGCAGGGCGGTATTGGTGGCGATCTGGCACACGACATCCGGCAAGGTGGACCAGTCCCGAGAGGAGGACTTGACCGACAGACGGAGGCGCCAGCGCTGGTACAGTCGGGCTGCTGCCACCACAAACACACACAGGGCCACCGTGATGAACCACGAGAGGATGGTGATCACCGGCGGCAGGGTGGAACTGAGAGCCGGAGGAAGCGCAGAGCCAGGGCGGGGGGGGCGGGGGGGGGAGGCGCCGGGGGTCAGCGCTTTGCGAGGGAAGAAGCAAGAAGGGGGGCGCCAGCCAGGTCCACAACAACCAAAGGAGGCGACGAGGGGGCTTGCCATCGGCACGCACAAGGGAAAGGCATCGTCGCGCGGGCAGTCGGTTGACAGGAGCCCCAGCAGGAAGGAGTAGAAGTCCCGAGCGGCCAGCGGCCGCGCTGCGCCATAAATCGGGGTCGTCTGGAACCCGGCGGCCGGGGTGCAGGTGGCCGCCGCAAAGAGGGTAGCCATGCGCAGTGACAGGGGAAGCTCCTGATGCGAGGGCCCGGTCAAAAGGACATCGAGCAATCGATCGGGGAAGATCAGGTGGAGTGTGGCCCAAGTGGCCAGACCCACGCCGCCCATCAGGACCAGTGTAGCCAGTAGCAGCGGGGCGTAAGACACGCGGCTTTGAATCAGGCCTCGGCCTCTGTGAGCGACCAAGCGAATGGCG